TTCAAAGTTCCCGTTGTCAAGAGTCTTTGTGCAATGAGAAACATAAAGCACAAGAAAAGGAAAAAACAGCAGAACCTCCGGATACGGGCGCTGTGACTTTCAAATAACCACATGAACGAATTCTGAAGAAACCATGAGCATAACAGTGGGGCAGGAAGAGTCAGGTTGCTTTGGGTTTTTTTTCTCAAATAAAGTTAACCCTTGGTAGACACAGAGCTGTGGTGCTTGCTGCTGATAACTATTTCTAGATATTTTGGAAACTGTCTATGCCAGGCTTATCTAAAGCCCAGTTTTGACCCTACTGATGCTGTAACAGAGATCCCCAAAAACTTCAGGGCTGAATTTTTCCTTTCCAAAATTTTAAGCTGCGAAATGCTGCTGCCTAAATCTGGTTGCTGCTTTCCACAAAAAGGAAGTGTGAGCACCAGACCTGGTGATGAGATGTGCTACCCAGACAGCACATGGGGGATTACAGCGGCTGCTGATTGCAGTGCGAGGTTAAATGTTGAGTCACTGGCACTGCTTTCAGAACACACTGCAGCATTTTACTACTTCTCTTATGAGGTCCCTCTTATGTGGACGGGATTGAGACCCAGTTTCCAGCTGTGACCTCCCCAGGGCAGAGCAGGGCAAAGCAGAGGGGCAGGAGAACCTCTCTGCCCTACACCCACCCCTTCTCATCCACCCCAGGATGGCGTTGGCCTTCTTGGCTCAAGGGCACATTGCTGGCTCATGGGATCTGCTGCCACCAACACCCCAGGTCCTTTTCTGCCTGGCATTTATTTCAGCCTTTACTGTTTTCTGTTTGAGTTTTATTGTTTGGTTGGTTGGTTTTTTTTTCCTGAAGCCGCTGTCCAGACCAGACTGTATGTATTTCTAGGATATTACAAGATTACTTTTGGTTCCCAGCTGAGCAGCCATGTGTCTGCTTAGGCTGGTGATTTATCAGTAGCCCAGCTGTTGTGGTGCAGCAATAACAGTAAAGTCTTTACGATGTGCACACAAGGTGTTTCTCCCTCTTTCCCCTTAGTAGCACAGGACCATCACTTATCTGATGCCACCTTGGGTTTGTGCTGCTCTGGGACCACTCTCCCATCCATGTTCTCCCTCTATGCTGTGTGGAAGTGGGGAGCAAATGAACGGTTTGCCCCTTTACCACCTTAGAAAACAGCAAACTAGACCAGTGATGACAGTGGTGAAACTGGTAAGTAATATGGAAACTGGCACACGGCTAAACTATGGCCCAGCGCTCCCCTCTTTACTGGTATTAAATTGAGTGACACCGCTGAAGATCTGTCACTGAGCTAATCAGAACTCTTTGAGTAGCGTCATTCTCCGCGAATGGAAACAGGAAGTGGAATATATTATAACTCAAATTCACACTTCCCTTCGTCTTTCTCAGTTGCTCTGAAGTCAGACAGGTTAGAGACTCAAAGGAGAAATAAAAGGGTCTCTGTCAGCCCACAGCCACGTGAGTCAGGACTGACCCCACTGATGTTCACAGAGCAAAGCTGACGTGCAGCTACCTCAGAAAAGAATAAGGATCTGCATCGTAAACGCAGCGATGCAGGCTAAGATTTTAGGAAAACAAGATTAAATTTGGTCTGGAACTCCAGCAGACAGGTCACCGCAGCTCACTGGAAAGCTGAGCTCTATCGTTGCTGGACTGTTGGCAGACGGATTCAGCTTGAAGTGGATTCTTTACATATAAATTCACCTCTGCTGTCGCTATGCTGACAAAAGCATCACTTGGCACTGACAGCGCATACCCTGTGGATATTAACTAAATCACCATCACAACCCTTTTAATTGCCCATATTCTTATTGTATAGATTGGGAAGTGAGATAGGACTCACTGAGGCCATACTTTTTTTTAGGCGTTGGCTGTGAAGAAAATGTAATTTGAATGCATGGGTTTATTCTTGCCATCAAATAGACATTTGGATTTTGCAGAGTCTGTTCTGTAAGGGATGTCCTTGCTTTGGGAAGAGTCCCTGTGAATTTGCACTTGTTTTTTGCCT